GACGGCCGGTGTTTTGCCTTTTCCCGCTTTAGTGCAACTTTTTGAGATTTATGGTCCTCGCGCCGAGGGATCGTAGATAGCCGAGAAAAGTTTGGCGTAATTTTGTCGACCCGGCTAATGTGTTTTACGATTTTACTCTTAATACAATCACCTGGTCATCGATTCATACTGGCATTCGAAAGCTTCAGAATCTGAGCACCGTTTTTTAATTACTTCGGCTTTAGATTTAGATTAGAAAATTCTATTCGTATCTTTTCTACATCAAAGATTAGATGTAATCATCTTTTAAAATCCTCTCATATTTAATTGGAGATGATATCGTAAATCTTGATATTTATATAAATTTCTACAAATATTCTATCAATAATGACGCTGGCTAGAATTAGCTTTCCTAGTTTCCCCATCGTTTTGCTAATTACTTCAGTCCCCATAGCCCTGTATTCAGTTGCAGTCTGGACTGCAAGCGTTAGTCACGTGCCATGGAATTCATCTTGAGGCTCGCTAGACCTGTACGTAGCCGTGCTAGGGAATCCCAAGGCTGTTGGCCAGACTTAATGGGCCTAATGGTGTTTCCCATGTGCCGTTATTAGTCGTGTCCCTACTGACAATTTAACAGTTACTAACGTCACGATTATCAAAATTTATCGGTGTTTCGTTCGCTCGAACGCTCGACGGTGCTTTATAGACCGTTTCTTTACGTATATTACGTTCTCCGTTACATATGGGAGTAGTTGGAAGGAACAACAACTTGTTTCCACCAAAGGACTAAAAAGTCATACCTAACAATAAGTAAAACTTTCATCGTGATCAATGCCGCGTGATTTGTTTGCCAGGAAGCAAAAATTTGCAAAAATTTTTCCTACGTTTGGCGTATTATATGTGGCGAGGGAAGCGTAAAGAATACTTTAAGTGGGATTTGTGTGTGAGAGTACGTAAGTAAAAGTAGGTACAAACTTTAAAACGTGACAGAGTGCGTTAAAAGTATGTCGAGAACTTAAGTTTCAAAGGTGTTCAAAATTATCCGTTGTACATTATAAGAAAGAATATTCGAAGTGAAACTTATTATTATTCAAAATGTAAAGACGTCTACTCGACTGTTACAGCTGTTCAATTATCAACTTAGAAAGATATATATATATATATATATAACTTTAGACATTTATTGTATTTTCTCGTTTAGAAATTTCAAACCTTTCACAAGTGGTTTGACTTATAATAAATATGAATTATATTATACTTACAAAACATTATTATTAAATAAACTCAATATCCTCTATGACAGATTCACCTTTGTCGCAAATTTATCTTCTCTTAATTTCCTCTGAAGTTGGGTATATCGATTATTCGTGGGAAAAAATCATACGAAAGCAAAGTAATCTCTAGCGAAAGACGGATGACGAATTTCAAAGGAAATTCAAAGGAACTTCATTCAGATAGAAACTCGATGCTTTCAGTAGAATGCAGAATATGCATATACCCAAGTTTCGAGATACCAGGCAACAGCGGAACGTTCAAAAACTATCGCCATCAATTATACTCGTGCAAAGTTGATACGTATTGGCACAAACTGTCTCGATTATAAATTGCAGTTTCACGATGCTTCTCGTATTTACGCTCGTGTATTTAGGAATTTATGCGTTCACGAGTTTTATTATTCTCTCTTATTCGAGAAAGGGTTGTTAGACGGTCTTTTAAGATCATTTATCGATACTTACGGCGTCGTTATGATTCCAAAATATGTAGGCTGGTGGTTCTGGACTTAGAAGAACCACGCACGTCAGGTTGATCGTGCTACCTCGATTGATGTATAGATCTGGTGCACCCAGGATTTCGGTTTTTGGAACTGAAAAATAAAATGATAAAATCGTTTGTAATTATTTGATTTCTATATGGTCTTCTCTCCATAGAAATGTAATGGATACTAATTTTTAATTAACTTTAATTATCGTATCTTCTTTCTAAATTCATTTAATATGTAGTTCCATACGAAAGAATAATTTTTCGTTACATTCTTATCGCTCAAAAAAAAAAAATTCACTCAAGTAAAAGGATTCTAAGAAAAATATAACTTGACGAAAGAATATTTTTTCAATAAATTGCTAGTATCAAGGCAGGAAATATCTTTTCGGTGATTCTTTTTTCATTTTTTTTTATCCCATGTCCTTCATTATTTTCGACTCTTTTTGAGACTGTTAAAAATTGTAATACAATAGCAAAATACGAAAGCAAGTTCATGCTTCTCTCTG